AAAGAGGCCCCAAAGAATCAAATGAGGCCAAATTTGGGTCAAAAAGGGGAAAAAAAGAGACAAAATTTGGGGTAAAAATGGCAAAAAAAAGGGGAAAAAAAGGGAGATTGGTGCAGGTTTGGGTCCAAAGGTCCATGAAAGGTTCCTGAGGTTCTTCCAGAAGGTTCTGGATCCATCCTGAGGGTGCTGAGGTTCTTCCAGAAGGTTCTGGAGCCATCCTGGTGGTGCTGAGGTTCTGGAGCACCCAGAATGTTCCAGAACCTCAGCACCATTCAGGATAGTCTAGAACCTTCTGGAAGTCCCTCAGGACCCTCAGGATGGATCCAGAACCTTCTGGAAGAACCTCAGGACGGATCCAGATCTGATGCTGAGGGACTTATTTTTTTATTTTATTTTATTTTATTTTATTTTATTTTATTTTATTTTATTTTATTTTATTTTATTTTATTTCATTTCATTTCATTTCTTTTCTTTTATTTTCTTTTCTTTTTTTATTTCCTTTTTTTCCCTTTTCCCGTTTTTTTTCCCCCAATTTCCGTTTTGGTTTTTTTTTCCCTATTTCCGTTTTTTTTCCCAATTTCCCCCATTTCTCCCCAATTCCCGTTTTTTTCTTTATTCCCGGTTTTTTTCCCCCAATTCCCGATTTTCCCCCAATTCCCATTTATTCCCCGATTTCCTTTTTTTCTTTCCAAATCCCGTTTTTTTCCCCAATTCCTACTTTTTTTTTTCCCAGTTCCCGGTTTTTCCCCGATTCCCGGATTTTTTTCTTTATTCCCCTTTTGGTTTTTTTCCCCCATTCCCGGTTTTTTTTCCCGATTTCCGTTTTTTTCTTTATTCCCGGTTTTTCCCCCCCCGATTCCAGATTTTTCCCAATTCTCGGTTTTTCTTTATTTCGGTTTTTTTTCCCCGATTCCCGGTTTTTTCCCCAATTCCCGTTTTTTTCCCCAATTCCCGGTGTTTTCTTTATTCCCGTTTTTTTCCCCAATTCCCGTTTTTTTCCCCAATTCCCGTTTTTTCCCCAATTCCCGTTTTTTTCCCCAATTCCCGTTTTTTCCCCAATTCCCGTTTTTTTCCCCAATTCCCTTTTTTTTTCCCCCTATTCCCGGCTGTTTTTCTTTATTCCCGGTTTGTTGGGTTTTTTTTCCCCAATTCCCGTTTTTCCCCCAAATTTACATTTATTTTTTATTCCCCATTCCCGGTTTTTTTTCCCTAATTCCCGTTTATTTTTCCAATTCCTGGGGTTTGTTTTATTCCTGGTTTTTTTCCCCAAATCCCACTTTTTTCCCCCCAATTCCCGCCTTTCCCCCAATTCCCGTTTTTTTCCCAATTCCCTTTTTTTCCCCCAAATTTCCATTTTATTTTTTTC